AAAGGCCTAAGTAGGTGAAACATGGAGAAAACTACGCTTCATTACCAATGCAGTAAAACAGTATTTTTTAGACTATGATTCCTTTCTTTTATTAATTGAGTAGTCATCAAGTAATACTGTTTCTTGTTGCTTAAACACAATCACTGTGACTCTTTTAACAGAGTGTGGAACACATATGGTGAAGGTCGTTATGCTGGAGACGAAGCAGCTGAGTGGATATCAAACTATTTGGATAAACCTGGCTGTAAGATCTATCAGCTCACAAAGCCAAGAATTATACAGGAGGATAAAGAGTGGGGCGATGTTGCTCAACCAGGCGATGAGGTACTGTAAAATTAATTATATGTGCTTGATAAAAATGCCTCAGAAGCATGCTATAAAAAACGTACTCAATACTGTTCCACAACAATTAAAATCTACTATATATCAGTGCCATTTAAGACCAATAGGACTTTTAAAAAACCAAACCCTTTGGCATGCGCGTACCTACATGGGTTAATACTGTCAGTATTAGTATAAGTAATAGCATGATTAGTGGTGATATTTGGCATAAATACCACGAGTGATATTTCAAAATTGTTATACGTAATTTCACGAGCCGTTAGGCGAGTGAAATTTGAGACAATTTTGAAATATCACGAGTGGTATNTTGAGTAGTCATCAAGTAATACTGTTTCTTGTTGCTTAAACACAATCACTGTGACTCTTTTAACAGAGTGTGGAACACATATGGTGAAGGTCGTTATGCTGGAGACGAAGCAGCTGAGTGGATATCAAACTATTTGGATAAACCTGGCTGTAAGATCTATCAGCTCACAAAGCCAAGAATTATACAGGAGGATAAAGAGTGGGGCGATGTTGCTCAACCAGGCGATGAGGTACTGTAAAATTAATTATATGTGCTTGATAAAAATGCCTCAGAAGCATGCTATAAAAAACGTACTCAATACTGTTCCACAACAATTAAAATCTACTATATATCAGTGCCATTTAAGACCAATAGGACTTTTAAAAAACCAAACCCTTTGGCATGCGCGTACCTACATGGGTTAATACTGTCAGTATTAGTATAAGTAATAGCATGATTAGTGGTGATATTTGGCATAAATACCACGAGTGATATTTCAAAATTGTTATACGTAATTTCACGAGCCGTTAGGCGAGTGAAATTTGAGACAATTTTGAAATATCACGAGTGGTATTTATGTCAAATATCACGTACAAGTCATGCTATTATTTGTTTATACTACTACCTGCAAAGGTTTTGTAATTTTCACATGTAGGAATTTCAAATTTAGCTGAAATACCACTGCTTTAAGCCAATCAAATTGCAGAAATTTCTCATGTAGTGGTATAATAATATTTATACTACTACATGAGAAATTTCTGCAATTATTTGATCGGCTTAGAGCAGTGGTATTTCATGAAATTTGAAATGCCTACATGTGAAAATTACAAACCTTTTTGCGGGTAGTAGTATAAACAAATAATAGCATGATTTGTACGTGACATATACCACTCGTGATTTTCCAAAATTGTCTCAAATTTCACTCACCTAAAGGCTCATGAAATTACGTATAACAATTTCGAAATAACACTCATCGGGTATTTATCAGATTTATGCCTAATATCACTACAAATCATGCTTTTACCTTTACTAATTTGTTTACTAAGTTGTTCCGAAAGATTTGGTCATCATACTGAATTATGTGGACATCCCCATGAACTTGTCTCCTAAATCAGCTTGCAGAAATACTGCTTTACCCGTAGGAAACACAAAAAAAATGGAGAAATCTAGCAAAAGCGATTACAGAATTTTCATTGCTCCTATATTTGGTACCATTCAGGCTGGCGAACTAATCGAGTTTCTGGAACTTTCGCAACTTTTAGGAGCTTCTTATTTTACATTTTATGAATATGAAATCTCTGACGATGTCAAGAAAGTGCTTCATTAATACAAAAGTAAAGGATTAGCACAGGTTCTTTCTTGGAAATTACCCTCCTATATCATGGACGAAGACGTCAATTACTATGGGCAATTTTTTTTCAGCACGAGAACATGCTTTCGTTACTTCACTGTATTCACGAAGAAAAATATTGTGGCCATTGTTTTCAAAGTGTTAGATTTGCCTGTGTAGAAAATGCTAATCAAACTTTCTTGCTTTTCTCTCGTAATGTTTCACGTCGTTTCTTGATAGGTCTCACACTAAAATGCCTTAGTGATCCACAAAGAGTTTTAGTTTTTGAACGTGAACTACATCATATCAAGCAGCCTCAATGTGAGCTGGAACGAAGTGAGTGTCTTCCACTTTAGAAACTGTCCTGCACCGTGTGACATGCCCACCGATATGGAAGTAGACACCACCCTGCAGAAATATGGCGAACGATTGAAAAAGAATGTGAATGTGTAAGGTTCTTTTACAGTCCAATTCCCCCGTTATAATTTTACCAGCAGAAGGTGGGAGTAGCCATGATCCTCAGGGATTCTCCCTTAATTAATCCATGTAGGGATGTGTGTGTTAAAGGGTTTGGGTTCTGAGTGCTTTTGGTCTGAAACTGGGTATAGAAATTTAAAGTGGTTTCTGGTCCCCAACTAAGTGGAAGATTTAGGCGTGCAAGATGTGATGGGATGGGGTGAAGGAAAAATATTTACTGGCAGAATTTGTTTGGTAGATCCTTGCAATCGTGCGAAGTGATGCACAATGCTTTATTTAGTCACAGAAAAAGGTCCTATTTTCATTGTTAATGTAGGTGATCATCTGACTTTAAATAAAATCTTAGTTTTGGCTCAAAGGAAGAACAGTACAAGCAAAACAAACAAACAAAAGTTAGAGAAAATGAAAAGGAGATTGAAAGAGAGAGATGGAAATACAATTGAGGGAAGGTGGAGTGAATGTGAGTTAATTAGAGAGGTGTACTTAAAGAAGTAAGATCAGCATGCATATTCGATACAGATAGATAAATGGTTTATTGATAACCACTTTGCAACCAGAAGTTGAATCATCCAATTATTCACAAGCAAATGTAATTACTTGAGAATACAACTGGTAATATTTAATTTGTGTAAAAATATACAAAACTGAATAGAAGGAGCACTATGGTCCTCTACAGTAAATGTGATAAGAAAAAAAATATGAAAATAGGAGTATAAAAATAAATAAAATTCCATACTGATGACGTTTCACTACCCAGTTCTGGGTGGTGCTTCTGATTGGTCGTGCTGTGAGGGAAATTTGTTTCAACCAATCAGAAGCACTACCCAGATCTGGGTAGTGCTTCTGATTGGTCGTGCTGTGAGGGAAATTTGTTTCAACCAATCAGAAGCACTACCTCAGGAAAAGAAATCGAATCGTCAGAGAGAAAAGAAAAGAAAGTGAGTTTTACAGCTTGCCATTCGGGCAAGCTGTAGCTAGCATGTACCAGCCTAAAAGTCATTTCAGCTCCCATTCCCTTCCAAAAAGAAAAAAAAATGGGTGAGCAGGATTGTTTACAGTTCTTCTGTAATTTGAGTTGCCCAAAAGGCTTCACTTGCCTATCGGGCAAGTTAAGAACAGAATTCACCAGCCTAATAGTAAGACACTATCTTCTTTGCACGCTGATTGTTAGTTTATCTTAATTTTTTGACATAGAAATCAATTGTATTCAAAAACCTAATAAAGTGGGGATGGATCAAGTCTGTCTTAAACTTATTTCTTCTTTGTCTTCTAAGGTGTCATTTGGTGAGTTTGCCCCCTACCTGATTACTAATGAAGCATCCTTAGATGCACTGAATGAAGAGCTACCAATGCCGGTCTCTATGACAAGGTTCCGTCCAAACATAGTGGTTAGAGGACTCAAGGCATGGGAAGAGGTATTTTCTTTTCTTTCTACCTACATTTTACTTGGCAGTTCTTGTGGCCGGGTTGCCGAATAATCTTGGTCCCCCCCGCAAGTTTTTGGGTCTCATGCGAGGTGCTCTCCCCTCCCTGCCCACTCCAACAAACCAGGAGAGAATATTCGTTAATCTGATTGGCTGAGAGGCGTGTTTGCATGAGAGTATGTAAACTTAGTTGTGACGTCAAGATGTTTTGCTTTTCGCGCGCTTATCACGCAAGCACGAATTTGAAAAAAGTTGTTGAGTTGAAAACCCAACAACCTTCCTTTATTCACCCATTCCCTCGTTGGCTGAAACTTGGAAAACCTTTGCAAAACATGCTCTGTCAATTGTCTTTTCGCATAAGCTGGCATTTTAAGTGAGAAAAATCCGTATTTTGGAAAGCCTCTTTTTTGCAAAACAAGAATATTTGATTACCTGTGCAATATTTCCCTCCTTTAACAGGATAAGTGGATTGGCAAGAATCTTCAGATAGGGGGAGCTCAATTCAGGTTCCTGAAACGGTGTGACAGGTACAAAAATCAACGAATGATTAGGGTGCAAGGGGGTGTCACTTGTTTAGTCAGGTGTTTCTTGTAATGTCGTTAGTAATAATCGTGAGTTGAGAAAACAAGGGAGAGCTTGAATGTTGTGTAGGAAGGTTGGAGTCTGATACAAATTGCCAGAAAATTTGGCGAACTTCTGAAAAACTTTGAAGAAATGTGTTTTAACAAAGACGTGCAGCCGAGATTTCTTAAAGCGGCTTCGAGGTGCCTAGGTATTTGGTACAGTACTTTTAGTGTTTGATGTAGGTTTTTTCCTTTATGGTACATATTAGGATCGCGTTTCTTGTGATAAAGACATACTTTGACAAGATTGCTGCTAAAAATCTGCTATCACTGTGGTGGTATTTAAATAACCATACTTAACCAATTCAGACGCCGAACATTTTGCGTACTGTACTTTCTTCACGGTATTCGGTTTGGTTACGGATAACTTCGGCCTCTGAATGGAGCCGAAACCTTTTCCATGATAGCGGTTTTCTTGGATTAATTTAGACTGTAGCATTTATTGCGTCATGAAATTTTTAGGACATATTCTTGTGGCAAACATTTTAGGTGTATCCTTATAACAGTCAATCCTGCACTAGGAGAAAAGGATGGTCGCGAACCTTTGGCCACCCTGAGAAGGTATTTGACTTTGAAATAATAATTAAATACGCTTTTGTTCTTGTCCTATGCTCCTATATTTGTTAAAAATAAGCAAAAAGGTGATCACGAGCTGGACTTTTGGAAGAAGAGAAAAAATGCTTACTCTCTTAATCCAGACCCTTACTATGGTTTTTATGCAACTTCTCTTCTTTCTTTTCCTTCGTTTCCAAGTCTTAGTCCCCATTTTCCTGACCCGCGCTATGTAAATTTGCGCGCAAAGGAAGGCGGGATGGAGAAAACGGTCTTCGCCTCAGCTCCCTTCTTTTCCCTTCTCGTGGCCCCTTGCGCTTCATCACCAGTCATTTGCGTTGGAGGCAGACCAATACCTATTGTTTGACGTTGGGGTTGCCATCGCCTGCCGTATTGACGTCTTAAACTCCCCGAATGGGGAGCTTTAGCATCGACGACGGCGACGGCAGCAAAAGCGTTATTCCAGTTGGCTGAATACGTCAAATGTAGGCGAATTTCCCAGGAGTTGATTTCTTGGGGAGTGCACTCAAGTTTGAAAAGGGAGAAAAATTCGTCGTCGCGTGTTTATGTTCTCCTTAAAACGTCCAATGAGGCACTTTCACGCCGTAATCGTGCAGTGACGGCAAAGAAATATACAAAACTGAAAAGTGTGATGCACGTGCAGAGTTGTTCTTTTGCTTACCTAAACCCATTGCTTTTTTGACGTTCTCGCCGCCTTAGCCGTTGCTAAAGCTCCCTGATAGCCACCGTGACAACACTGTAATGACCTCACGGTGCAGCTCGTGTTACGTGTGCTGCGTTACAGTTTGTCTCCTCCTGAATGTCAGACTAAAGTTATGTCATGATGGTATTTTGATGAAATATCTACTGCTTTACGATCTGAAGACGTCGCACTTATCACTTAACCTTGGTTAAAACAAACTCACACATGTAACAACCTGAGGAATGATTTTACTCAAGTTAACTTGGAAACCATTTTTAGTGAAAAATATTTATCTGTGTTTGTACGTATATTTGTTTGTTTACAGAATAAGGCTTCCAGAGGACAGGGATCCAAGGCAAGGACGATCCCCTCTATTCGGTGTCCTCGTAGCTCTAGAAGGGAGTGCTGTGGGCCGAGTTGTCCAGCTAGGAGAGTCTGTAGTGATTTGCTCATAGGCCAACTCGTCGCTTAGCTTGTGCAACTTTAAGAGAATTAGTAATTCACAGTGAAAGCTAACTGTTTGGAGGACACACATTGAAGCAGTAAGGAAGGTTGAAGAGTCTTCCAGTCAAAGGCCTTGAGTTAATGGTTTTGGTTATGATCGGTTTGATCATGGAAAAAACAAACAAATAATATCAATTCCTCTGACAGTAAAACATAATGAAACTTAACGTTGTACTATATATTAGGTGCCAGTGGAGAAAAAAGAATAAATAAAACAAGATTCTCCCTTTGTGGTGTTCACATGTAAGACATTGCTTAGGGGTAGCAATTGCAGATTTTAGTCTCATGCCGTAAATTTTCTTCACCTTTTCATGCACAGCCATAAAAAGAATCTGTTGGCCCTTTTAGCCCTTCTTGGAAATAGCCAATTTCCCTTCCTTTCATATCCTTTAACTAGTGAAATTCCTACTTTTTCATATACCCGAAACCTAAAAAGGATACCATGAACTTGCGTGTCAAGCCACTCTGTATAGGCCTTCATAAAGAGTAGCACTCCCCGCATCCCCCTCCCTGACCAGGAGACCAACAGGTCGTCAGAACTCTGTGGCCTGCTGTAGTGACACTGTGCTCTATTCCCTTGGAGTTCTGACCGACTTGTCCCCGTCTTTAACGACTTTCTCAGATAGTCTCACCCTACCGTAAAGTTCCCAAAGTAACAACCCCCCGAAAGTAGAGATGAAATTTCACAGGTAAATGCCAAAAGAAGCGACCCTCCGAAAGGAGCGACTTCAAAAGTGATTTCCCTTATTACTAGAAATAACGGAAATTATAGTTACAAGCTTGACCAAACTGATCCGAGATTTATTTTTAACGGTTATAATGAACTTTGACATTCCTTTGTGTAACTTAAAGGTACATTACATCGTTGTTGTTTTTTTTCAAAAAGTCTTCCTTTAGTTTGTGAATACCCACACCGTAATTAAAAAGAAAACAATAATATGACATAAGTTTCTCCAACTAAAAAGTGTGGATGTTTTCACGATTGTCGCGAAATTATCATGGCTCGTACGGCCCATGTACGATACATGATTCAGAACCGTTACGGAGACGTTGTGTAAACCTCTCTAGGTGTCCAGCCGCACCCAAGGTTACATAACGTCAGAGTTCCAATATGGCTACCTACTCCAAGTATATTTTAATGATTGGCGGGCCTATTGCCGTAGTTGCTGGTATAGGAGTACTGTGGTGGCAAAGGAAAAAGAAGAAGCCGACTTTAAACGAGGTGGGACGCGTTTCTGATCTGATCATTTATCCCGTCAAGTCATGCAAAGGAATTCGCGTGTCCGAAGCAAAATGCTTCAAGGAAGGAATGGAGTATGATCGGTAAGGGTGATTTTATTGCATTAACAGGATCCTCTCGATTGGAGTACGAGATTGAGTATGAGTGCCAATGTTTAAACCAATTTCGTGTGCCTCTGAGTACAACGAGCTATCACAGCAATTTCTTCCCTATTAAACTTTTATTTTTAGCGTAACTATATAACTATATTAGAAAGACTACTAGTCACTAGTTACAGATCGGGGAATCAAATATAAAAGGTTCCAAATTCCAAAGTCATACTTTAATGCGATTTCGTTCTCATAACCAAAATGAATACCACGCAGAGCTAGTCCCTTAAATTTAGACAACATGGTATTTTCAATGAGGCAATTAATTGCGTATGGACATTGGAAACAATTAAGCTCATTTTAATAGCTCTAATATATATTATTTAACCTCTTTGCTTAGCAATATACCGTTAAGCTGGAAGGAAGGTGAGGAATATTGCTTAAAATAGCAAATATGTTCACAATGTAATTATACATAGTAGTACACAGGGGGAGGGGGAGGGGGGAGGGAGGGGGTACTTGTCAATTTTTGTTGGATTGCCTCTAAGAACCCCTACCCCATTATAGGTCTATTTTGTGGCCAATCAAAGAACCCTTCCTAGTCACTTTTGGGCAAATGTTATTTCTGCCGTGCCTATTCAGTCACTCTCTGTCACTTTCTCAGTGGCGATTTACCAGAATGTTTGTTACCTCCAAAATCTCAAAAATCTGTGACCGCATCTATTGAAAATGCAAACCCCATCATATTCATTCCAGTTGTGAAAATGTGACTTCATCTGGCAGCACATCTCCATTAGCCCAATACTAGAAAGTACCTCAGGGTTCTACCTAAAGGCCACGATCTGGATATCACTTGGTAGTGCATTCCATTTCTGTGCACCATTGAGACAAGTGGTAACTTACATGTTAGTGGTACTGTACATCAAATGGATTCAATTGGTTTGATTCACACCCACCATATGGTACTCTTTTCTTTGCTAGGTGCTGGGTTATTGTGGATGAGAAAGATGTCTTTATCACTCAGCGTACACACCCACAATTGGCTCTGGTTGTTCCAGAAATTGAAGATAACCGATATCTCTGCCTAAATGCCCCCAAAATGAAAACCCTCAAACTGGATACTACAGACACTAGTGGAGAAGTCAAGAAATTAAGGTACTTTTACTTATATTCTGATATGTTTAATAGTGGTATTGGAGCTGCCTGCTGGGCAAGAGTTGTCAGGAGCCTCTAAAGCCTTTTTTTTTTTCAGAATGAAGTGAATTCTTCATGCCATAATTTCTTGCAAAACTCTATTCAGCAGCTAACCCCCATTACTGGCTCAGTCAATTCCAAGCATACCCATCCCCCCACCCCCCGGGCATTTGTAAGGCATACATGTCATTTTTTTCTGGAGCAGCAACAAATGCTCCATGGTGGGGCCGGGTGGTTCATACAAAAACTCCACAGTGGGGCTTAAAAAGTGTGCAAATGTCCCCCCCCCCCCCCCCCCCCCCCGCCCCCCCATTATTTTTTTTTTTTTATTAAACCCACAAAAAACCTTTTTTAAACACAAAAAAAAAAAAAAAAAAAAAAAAATATTTTTTTTTATAATTTTTTATTTAAATAATTATTTTACAATACAACTTTTTTTTTTTTACTAAATTTATAACAATTTTTTAGCAGACAATATGTTGTTCTACTATCTGAATACACTAGATAAACCACTGGAGGGGAGGGTGGAGTAAAAAAATCTCTCCACATGTAGCATATGATGGATTAGTCAAAATACCCCCTCCCCCCCCGCCTTGCACAAACTTATTTAATCTTTCATTAAGTCAGGTGCAAAACCTATGTTTAACAGCACAATAAAAAACTTGAAAAAAAAAAATCTTATTTTCCAATATTCATTTAACAATAATGGTACTTCAAATATCACTTACTTTATGATTACACATCTATACCACCTTTTGAAACTCTTGATAAAGATTTTTTAGCTATGCGTTGTCTTTGGAGTCTGAACGGTCAGTGAACAATCTCTTTGTTTGTTGTCTGTCAGAATCAATTATGAGAGCAGGGTATTTACCCTTAACTTGAAACCTAACTTTGTTCTCTGCTAATTTTAACATAAGTGTTGCAATATTCCTTAAGTAATTACAGACAACCTCTCTGTTTGGCTTTCCTTCAAAACTATATACAATTTTTTATACGATTTTTTATAAGATGTTTTGCGATGTGTATGTCCTCTTTTCCTGTCCTCTCATGCGACATGGAGTAGGTGATCCAGCCCGACTTAAACATTTCCCTGAGGTGAGAGAAATCTCTTGACAAAAGATTAAAATAGCAATGAGTTGTCTTGTCTATCTAAATGGGCATATTTTTAAGTGAAATATTGAAAAAGGAACTATATAAACTGCTTCTACAGGAATTGACAAATACTCACCCCCGGGCAGAGGTTTTCTCACAAATTTCCCCCTCCCCCCCCCTCCCCCCACCAGGACCAACAAGATGCCAAATACCCTACAAATGCCCGAGGGGGGATGGGCATGCTTGGAATTGACTGAGCCATAAGGGGGGCCCTTTTACCATTGACCCAAGGATGACTGCTCAAGTATAATGGCCATTCAACTGTATTGTTATTCTCAACAGGGTGAAGAGGATAGATGGTGAAGGTCGTTATGTCGGAGATGAAGCAGCTGAGTGGATCTCAAATTATTTGGAAATGCCTGGCTGTAAGATCTATCAGCTCACAAAGCCAAGAATTATACTGGAGGATGACAAGTGGGGTAGTGTAGCCCAGCCTGGAGACACGGTACGGTGGTGTAAGATGAAGTTTATGTACAGGAAAAAGTCGTAATCCCTTAAGAGTTTGTATTAAGGCCGATTTAGACAGTATGATCTTTGTTTATAACTATCATGCGCAACTAGCATACGCCATGACTTCACGTCAGATTGTGTTGTGTAAATGAGACCCACGACATCCGTACAATGCATGAGGATGTCATAAGTGAAAATTGTGGGCGTGTGCATGGGCAAATAGATGTTTTTCTGTTATGGACAGTTCTCGCTAGACACCTCTCTAATGTGGACACAAACCAGTAGCTACAGAATTAAGTGTCCACAGTTAAAGTCAGAACTAAATGTCAGCTATTTTGCAGGTCAAAATGAAATTCAGGTTAAAATGGTTTTAACCTAGTTTGATTCTCAATTGCAATTGAATAATAATAGGGGTTAAAGACAAAGATTTAGGTGCAATCCATTTTATTTTGAGCTGCAACATCCAGATTGAAAGAGTTTCCATATGGTGAAGTGAAAATTGTACGACTTTGTTATCTTATATAGAATCAAGAGTATTGTCCGTAAAAGAATGGTTTCTGCATCGCCGAAATCCTCCCCCAAGCTAGCCTGCGTGCAGATATCAAGAGGGGAGTGGAAAGGCAGAGGAGAGTCGCACTTTTCTCCCCCTCCACCTCCCCCGTTTTGCACCGACAATAACCCAACTACATATGTGTGCAAATATTAGTAGTTGCTTAAAACCATGCTGGCAGAAACTTTGTTTTCTAACATAAACGTCTAAGTGTGGAAGCTGGGGCCAGCACAGATACCTCAGCACCACTGCAACACAGGTACTTAGAAACAATTGGAAACCAATCAATTTTTAAAAACAAGTATTTTCCTTATGTCTTTGCAAGTCGGCATTTGGAGACTTTGCCCCATACCTGATCTGCAGTGAAGCATCCTTAGATGCACTGAATGAAGAGCTGCCATCGCCTGTCACCATGGAACGATTCCGTGCAAACATAATTATCAATGGACTCGAGGCATGGGAAGAGGTAAGTTTTGAGGGAGGACATATTAAACCAATATGGACATTTTTCTTATACAGTCTTATGGGTATTTTAAGTTGGATTAGTTGAAAGAGATGCCAAGAGATGAAGTCAATGTTAACATTTACCATGGTTGCCACAGGTCAGGAAATGATCAGGGAAAAAAAATTCCTCAAGGTCAGGGAAAAGTTTGTGAATTTCACTTCAAGTCAGGGAAGATTGAAATCTTTCAAAGAAGTCAGGGAGAAATGAGATTTTAAGGGTACATATTTATTCTTTCCCCTCTACTTTTATTGTTTTTATTGTTTCTAACATTTAAAATTCTCTTTTACAATTTGCGGACATCAATCATGTTGTATTGGTAGAATATTATTGTTCACGGAATTGAACAACAAGTTGTTAAGGAACTATCAATTTGTGCACACTATGACTTGCTGAAAGCATAGATAAATGCGCGGAGAGAATGGCTGTGAGGGGAGTGTTAAGTCCATTATCAGGACTAAGTTTCGAAATTGTTTATTCTATTGATCAGGAAAATTTTACATTTGTCAGGAAAAAGTCGGGGAATTTCAGGAACCTCTGCCTGTGGCAACCGTGATTTACATGGTTCTCATAACCCAAGCGTTTGACTCAAACAAACGAAAGTGGCTGTTAATTTCCCCCCTTTTCCCTTTAACCCCTGATACTCAGGGTAGTTGATGCTCTCTCAAAAGCCTAAAACTGACGTGTTTACAGAGACTCATGATTAATATCCTTCTTTTTTCGTCTGTCAAAAGGATAAATGGTCTGGAAAGAATATTCGAGTAGGAGAAGTTGAATTTAGATTCCTGAAGGATTGTGGAAGGTAGGTTATTTTATCTAAGTGAGCAAATGGATTGTGTTGAAGTCCTACATCTAATCGCATAATTTTGGATGGAGGGTTCAAGTTATCTAATGCGTAAAAATAAACAGTTATTTTTTCGTCCTTTAATTTGGACTATGAATTGCATTTATATGAGAAACGTTTGAGAACTTCAAAGATTAACTATTCCTTCAACGTGATAGGTGTCTCTTCGTAACAGTCGATCCTGACCTGGGAGTAAAAGATGGAGAGGAACCTTTAGTTACCTTGAGAAGGTGAGATGGAGATTCTTTATCTTGCAGTCCAACGATATTCTACTTTCGAGACTTGAACGTTGCCTCGCCTTACCTAGTCTGCTACACCGCCGTTTTTAGTGTCGTCACGCAACGCTCCTCCTTGTGGAGAGGAGCGTTGCGTGACGACATTAAAAACGGCTGTGTGGACATTTCTTTGCCGTCGTTGCGTGACTACGTGAACACGTTAGGGAGCTCAGTTAAGCAACGACTACGGCAACGACAACGAAAACGTCACTTAAAAAGTGAATTCGTGCCGTTTCAAACTTTATCGAGCTTATTCCATCTCGTTCAATTCGTCAATTGTTGGCAAATTTTTCAGGAGTCGGATTCTAAAGGACTGTATCAAAGTTCAGGAAAAGAAAAATACATTCGTTATTTTGTGTTTACGTCCTCCACAAAACGTTTCACGTCGTAGTAGTACAGTGACGGCAAAGAAATGTAGAAAAAGCGTGATGCAGGTGCAAAGTTGTTTTTTCGCGTAATAAACCTATTGCTTTTTTATGCCGTTCTCGTTGCTGTCGCCGTCGTCGTTGCTTAAGCTTCCTACTACATTCAAGAATTGGGCGTTGACTCGCTTTTTGACCCCCATCCCCCCTTAGTACAGCTTATCACGTTACTTGAAGAGCCAGAGTTGAAAAGCATTTTGAGTTGATTGTTTTTTGGTTCACAGGATAAGGCTTCCAGAAGACAGGGATCCTAGGCAAGGACAATCCCCGCTGTTTGGTGTCCACGTAACACCAGAGGGGAGTGCTGTGGGAGGGAGTGTAAAGCTAGGAGATAGTGTGACTTTAGTGGCTTAGTCACAAGCCTTTGCGAATGACAAAAAAATGAAGTTTCTGCTTGGAGGTGACAAACCAGATGTGTGTAAAATTATGGACGTATTTGATAGTCTTGCAAGTAAGCAGATTGAGTTTTCACTACGAGGCACCCTTCATTTGCACTTAAATAGGCCTTTTTGCTGTATTTCATAATTTATTCTTTAGTTTTATGTTTATATCTAAATAAGTTGTGCTGATATTAAAACACTTACTATGTTTTTAATGTCGTTTTTCTCTTATGACGTGTATCTCCTGTTAACTGCTGTTATTGTTCATTCAAAACATTTATTGTTTGTGATTGGCTCAGATACCCCGGCCAGCTTGAGTTGGCCAAATTTGGAAGACCTTTGGATATCCGGTAAAGTGACGTCAAAAGTATAGGCCATCGCCGAAAAAGGATTGGCAACCGAGAAGCCCTGGGAACGAGGCTGCGTTAGCCCAGTTGTTTTGGTAGAGATAGAGAAAATGGAAGAACATATCACACGTTTTTCGGTGAAGAAATATACGATGGAAAAAACTAACCAGACAAAAAAAATGTCTAAGGGAAACAAAAATTATTATCGTCATTTTAACTAAACAATACCTAAACACTTCGGCTTCGATAAATATTCAGTAGTATACTTATGACTGCATGTCGAACATGTCTCATTTTCCAACAGTAAATCAGGGGATTTAGTGTTGAATTAAGCAAGATCATCGTCAGAGTGTAAAGTGAGGCGTGATTTGCCCAGGCACTATTTCCAGTGGCTAACTCAACAGAAAAGACACAAATCTGTGGAAAATAACACACCAAAAGAACAAGATACACGTAGAACGTGCCACCTGCGTACTTTCTTATTTTCAAGGCTCTGGTCAATATTTTTCCGTTCTCTGCGACTTGCAGGCGATGTATTTGATTTGAATGCCTTCGTACTTCTGCGAGTATTTTGTAGTGAAAAAATGTTGTAGCTGTTAGACAGACAGCACCGTTCACCACAAAAATAATCATGGCAATATCCCAGGACAACCGTCTGAAACCGAGAGCAGATGCAAATCCACTGACAATCCACATTGCGACCACTACGGCAGTAACGCGCTTCGGAGTGACAAGTTCTCTGTATCTGAGATGTAGGTGAATAGCCAAGAATCTGTCGGCACTGAGGACAGTGACACCGTAAAACGAAGCATAACCGAAGAAATTCGCCAGAATGCCAAATGCTTTGTTGATGCCCTCAAAATCGTGATTATTATAATTGTCCTTCATTCTCAAGGCAACGAATGCTACGTACAAAGGCTGTACAAATACGCCAACGCCCAGGTCGGAAACTGCCAGATTAAGAAGTAATGTTCTAAGAACCGTCGGCAAAGACGCCGTTTTTCTTAACGCTTGTATTGTTACAATGTTCAACATTATGGCAGCGTAGGACAAGATGGCATTAAAAACGCAGTTAGCAAAGTATGACCAATACAGCTCTTCAAAATTCTCTACTATGTACATGGCGCTGCAAACCTTACTCTTCTTTAAGCCTTTTTCAGTTTGTGGGACCTTTGTGATTAGGAATTTTGTTTTGAACGGGTGCAAGCCTGACAAAATACCCCGTGTTTATCTATCTTATGTCTGTAAATGGCTATTTTTATTTCCAACTGTCCCTATCACACAATTGATTTTGACAAACTCTATTTGTCTTTCGTTAACAGTGAACGTTGGTTCTTCAAATAGTCATTCAAGCCGTCCAGTTGAAAAATACTACCGACCAGGTGTCACTTCTTCTGGTAAATAAAGCAGTGCTTCAGTCTCTCAGCTGGGATGAATGTTAGCCAAGGAAAAACTAATAAATGTTTTCTTGAATGTCATTATATTTTCTCCCAAGTATAGCGGTGATAGACAGCTTTTTATAAAATGTAATTAAGAAAACACTAGGTGCCATAGGCTTTCCAGCAATATGCTAAAAAGGTACAGCAGAAAGAAGAAAACCAACCGTAAATTATTAGTCTTGTTTATATAGCAAACTGTAGTTCAGAGTAATTATTTGTATTCGCCCAGAGGAGCTCTTTCAGTTTACATGTCGGGCATAATCAATTAAAAAGCTGTCCAGTTTTCGATTAACGATTACGCGCGAAATTTTTAACATGTTATGAAGGGGGCACCGGAATCTGGAAAACTGGGCTTTGCAATCCAGAATACAGCTCAAGGACTCCGGAATCCCACCAACCATTGAATTCGGAATCTAAATTCCACTGACTAAGACTGGGATGCAGTACCAGGAATCCAGAAGCCAACACTGTCTTGGATTCCCTTACGCAAGACGGCAAAGTGCCTTAAAAGCTCTTCAAGTGCATTCTATGCACCCGGGGCGCGCGGGGGGGGGGGGGGGGGGGGGGGTTCCCCCCAAATTTTTGGGGATGGGGGGCTCGGTGTGGGTTTTAACCCCCCCCCCCTTTAAAGAAAAAAAAAAAAAAAAAACCAACCCTTTTAAAGGCCGCCCTTTTTTTTTAAAAACCATATGGTTTTTTATGTTTTTGGTGCAAAAAAAAATTTCTTAGACAGTATCTTACAACCCAACAAACAAAAACAAGGACCCCACACACCCCCCACCAAATAAATAGGAAAAAAAAAACCCACTAAAAAAAACGGGGGGGCAGAACAAAAAAACAACAAAACACACCCCTTTTTGTTCCCCCCACAAAGAAGGAAAAAATGGTAAAAAAACCTTTAAAGGTGCTTTTTTCCCCCGGGGGGGGGGGGGGGGGGGGGGGGGGGGGAAGGTACTCGACCAATATTTGGGTATAGGTGGTCCGCTTAGGGTTTGAAACCCCGACCCTGTTAAGGACAAAAAATCCTAAAATACATACCCTGTTAAAGGCACGCTGTCTTATTTTAAAGCCATAGCGTTTGTATATGTTTGGGCTACAAACAAATTTCATCTCACTGATCAAATCGATCGTGCTGGCAAAAATACCCTGTTTATAATTAGGACAGAATCGCACGAAATTATATACCCTGTTTAGGACGGAGAAGTCAAAAACCATACACTGTCAGGCGGCACATCGCGTAAAGGCCATATGAGGGAGTAACCCCAGGGTCTCAGTAGTGCTTTAGAGTTTATCTTTTCAGTTGGTGTCCACGGGCGAATTTATTAGCCTTCTCCATCATTTTCCCGAGAATCACAGAATGCTGCCATGAATGCTGAGATGTGGTCGCACATAGAGATTCGACTGTATTTTAGCGTCGGTTCGCGAGTTATTGAAATTTCTATGCAACAGTTACTTTGTCGAATAGATATTTGCAGACACTTGGCTATCCCTGAAATATTGTTCGCGATGCGTAGTAAATATTCCCGAAAAGATGGGTGTTGTGGGTGAAGTCGGAAATTATTGATGTGTGTAAGTCCTTTGCATTGAAGACCATGGAGGAGTGGTTTGGGTGGCAAAGGAACGACTGGAGGTAAATAAAATCAACAAGTGAAAGTTTTATCTCCCGAATTTCATTGCTTGGTTGGATTTGGCGTATTGTCTTCACTGCTCAATTTATACACTATGCGAATATTTCAAAGTAAAAAGAGCTGTAAATATTGTATGTGGAAAGTTTAAGTAATTAAAAACTGAAATCAACTTCAAGTGCACGCAAACATAATAAAGTTTCGTTTGTTTTTATATTATTGTCTCCTCACCATTATCAATGCAATTTCACCACAAGGTCTAGTTTTTAATTGGAAAGACGAAAAAGAGCCGAGACAGTCATGTTTTCCTATTAAGAAAAATTTAATATCAGCTTTGGTAAAACAGTATATTGACGTTTAACATGAAAAACATCGGTGAACAAAAGTAAATGAACATTAAAAGAGGAAACCAGATACCAATCTGAATAAATATAATTTCAACTCAGAACAGCGGGTAAAGCGTTCTACAAGTACATTGTATTTGAAAAATATTGCAAAAATATCCAACAGATCATTTGAAATCAATGAAAAAAAACTTCTAATTTACGACAAACCTATTAATAATCCATCGTGCTTTGTGCCATTGCCGTGAATACTATCAGTTATGTCACCAAGGGGTCTATTCTGTTGTCTTTTTAATGGACAAGATTGGAAAGAGTCGAGTCCATACAACAGTCATGTTTTCCTCCGAGATAACGAAATTAATGTTATCTGTTAGGAGTATAATGAACATTTTTATATCGCAAAAAAAAATCAGCAGTTAATAATGGCAACTGTCTTGAAAAAGGAAACCGGGTGCCAAATTGAATAGAAGTAATTCCGTCTTAGTACACAGTAGGTATAAAACTTACTACGTTAAATCGAAGTAAGACAAATAGGAGTAATATTCCATGCCAAGAAAAATCATTCTTCTTTTATTGAAGCACTGATATTTCGTCTTCTAAAGGAAGCCTTTGAGCGGGATGAATTGGTGACCTATGCAAACTGTTCAAAAGTTGGTTCCTATGAATTTAAGAAAGAAATTTTCTGACTTCTTTTATTTACGCCTTTAGAAGTTAGCTGACGAATTTTCTTGCGTCGATCAACTTTTCAAGCCCATGATTCCCGTGGCATAGACAATTTTCAAAGTGGCTGAACCGCGCTATTATATGTTATGTTGAACAACAACAATAGCACAGGAGCAACTGCTAAAGGGGCCGAACAGTATTCTAGTGGCAAGTCATGTTATCATAGCTCTTCTTTCTCCCGTAGCAGTAGTGGGGAATGCAGTAGTTTTAACAGCGATTTGGAAGAAGTCCTTTCAGAGAACACCTTTTCATATTCTTTTGAGTGTTTTGGCGATTACTGACTTGTGTACTGGAGTTGCCACTTCTATCATGTCGATTCCCTATTTGTATAACCATACGCTTTATACAACTGAATCAGTAATTGGGATTCTCAGTGGAACATATCTGTTGTCTCTAACAATACTTGTTATAACACTTATGTCTATTGAACGTTGGCTGCACATGACTCGGCGATCCTCAATAACATCGCGCCGTGGATGTCTCATCGCTGCGCTCTCCCTAGTAGTGCCAATTCCTTTCGTTGTTCTACAGGGTATTTATTTTTTCAAAGATAGTTTTAAACTAGAGGCAGGCACCACTATGGGAGTATATCTGCTATCTTGCTACTTAGCCACCTCTGTTGCGTATTTCAAAGTGTTCCGTATAATTCGCCGACACCAGCAACAAATTCGTGGAAACCAGTCGTGTCAAAGTGTTGGTCAACGAGTGATCGACTTGGCGAAATACAAGAAATCCGTAATTTCAATCTTATACATTCTTATTTTGTTTTCTCTTTCTTTCTTGCCTGTGACAGTTATACTCTTCCTACTTGTTAAATGGGGTAAGAGCAAGGGAACATGGGAGCCATATCACCTGTCTTTGGTGCTCTTATTTTTGTCTTCCAGTCTCAATCCTGCTCTTTACATCTGGAGAATGAGAGACATTCGTGATGGAGTGAAATCTCTATTCTGCCCTTGTAGATCCCGGCAATAGGCCATTTGCACGAAGACGTCATTTTACTACTACGACCAGGATTTGTATTTGTGTTTGTATTTATTTATTTGCCACACGATTACAATTAAAAAAAGATACCAAAAAAAAAAATGTGGGAAAAAATGGCGAGGAGGAATAAAGGAAACTTTAAAGCTTATGTTAATTAGGCCTCCTCAATTACAATTTTTCGAAGATGGCATAAAAATTACGGCGACGGCTACAAAATAATATCAGGTGGAAAATTAAAATAACAATCAATATTACGGAAGTTTACAAATGTTGAATATTAAAAGCTTTTCCCAAGATTCTTGTTGGAGTATACTAATAATTATTACAAATAAATGCCTTAAGTGCGCTTTTAAAGGAAAAAGGTGAGGAAGCGTTGATGATGTTAGTGTTTAAGGTGTTGTAAAATTTAGGTCCTTGATAAAAAACGGAGAATTGTTTGGTTCGAGTACGACAGAAAGGCAGACGAAATCTACACGAGTTTCTTGCATTATACGAATGAATTGGACTTTGTAAGGTAAATTTACAATGAAATTTTAGTATCCTTTTCGTTTTTCCTTTCATATTTTAATATGGTAATCCCAGTGAGGTTTCGAAAACGGAAGCCCTAATTTGCACAAGAAACCAAAGTCCTGAGGGATTCTTGTCGTAGCAGTAAAATGACGTCATCATGCAAAGGGCCTATTATTCCACGAGTGGCGTTGGCTATAATCATCTCATATCCAACAAGCGCGAGTGCAATAATTGTTTTATTGAAAACGCCTACAAAATATCGAGAATTCTTCCCGGCTTTGATTTTCAGCTTATTTTTAATTTTGAGCAGACGCGTACAGTTACCATATTTGGAGAACATGGTATAATGGCTCATATACCATGATGGCTAAGCCAATAAGAGCTCTAGAATTGCATTATTCAATGATTCCGTTTTTAATAATATGAATCATCATCAGTGAATCCCGGGGAAGTACTCAACAAAGTTCTACACGTAGAGGCTTCGCCACAATGTCCAACTCCTTACCTTTTTATAAACCTTTTTTGACGGAAAAGGTACCCTGTTAGCCATTGTGTTGTCCCTTTAGAGACTAAAATGACAGATTTCCCTGCGCTTTCATATGCTCCAATCAATGAAATACTTACCCTTTCAAATATCAGAAGCCTGAAAATGTACCTCTTACGCAAGGGCGCGCGAAGCCCCCTCGTATAGGCTATCATAGTCGTACCCCTCTAGGGGCGAATCGCAGGTGACCACAACTGAATTGCTGGAGATCAAGGAATCATAGGTAATATATAGTTTCTTAATGTGGTAGCATCTGACAATGCTTTAAGCAGCTCAACAACAGTGCTGGTTAAATTTATGGACCTTTAAGCAACCGGAACCTGCAGCAAAGCTGAAAAAAACTCTCATGTGAGACCACCTTCCATACGCTACCACCTGTCAAAACACTATAATTTTCCCCAGTCAAATCATTAAATGACAACCTCTCGTAAGCGACTGAGACCATCTTTTTGGATGACAGTTTTGAAATTTCCATTGATTTTATCCTCCTGTAAGCGACTACTTGAGCGGTTTTCCTTCTCTAAGTTCACTGTATGTACTACACTACCCACAATGAGCGAAGAACTTTTAGGGAGAACATGAAACTACACTTATGAATTAGAAATCGCATGCAAGGAATTCTCTTGAAAAATGTAGATGTGTGGTTCGATTCTCGTTAGCGACCACTTCCCATAAGCGACCACAAAATCTTCGCACTTTGGATGGTCACTTACTGGAAGTTGGACTGTATACATGGTATACAATCTGTGCCTCTGAAGTTAAAAGCTAAGGCCAGTCATTCATGTTGGTAGCTGTAAACTGATGGGCGTTTCAAGCACAAAATATCTAGTGTTAGACATCGACGGTGGAGTCTCCCATTGCGTCCTCTTTGAAAGATGACGCAACAAGGTATCATCTGGTATTGGAATTATCAAGCGTGTGTGATCAATGATCCCACTTACACCCCAAACACTTTCTACAAGTTTAAGCACATTTTCATTTTTACTTGTTACAAAAAATTAGAAGAAACTGTCCTGTCTCGCGTGGAACAGTTCAGGTAAGAGTTTGCCTGATTCTTGACATGAGTAGTATAGTGGAGATTTTTTGAACCCCATTTCTGCGTAGTAATATTTAATTTATGCAGAAATATTCCTTTGTCTTTATCTCATGAATAAAATACAGAGGATTGTCATTAATGAGATTTATGCTTGTTTGATAAGATTTGATGCCATGCTAAGTTTACTTTTTCTCACGGCCCCTTCAAAGCCACTACATGCTAAAATAAATAATTATTATGTTTTCCTTGTGTCGCAGTTTTACCTCCCAGAGATACGAGAAGCTAGCACTTTCCTGGGGGGAGGCTGGGGGAGTCGTTATCTAGTTAGTGCGGGAGAGCACGTTTCGTAAAATATGGCCTGCACCCAGTAGGCTGAACTTCTGAAGAGGTTTCCAGGACTGTTTTCGACGTATTTTCCCAGGCCCTTTTTAACTAGGCCAATTAAGTGCTCCAATACCTAAAGGCACAGTTTCTGCTATAAGGCCCCAAATTGTTGAGATTTCGATCTCCAAATTCTAATATTTTGATAGATTTTCAACCATTTTGACAGATGTATTTCGTTCCACAAATATAGCCATATCAATCATTGGACATTTCTTCAGCTCTTGGTCCTTGATAATGATGTCAGGCCTGTTGGATTTGATTTCTTTATCGGTATGAACCGGCATGTCCCAGAGGACATTCATTAGGGAACTTAAGAACCACGACAAAGTTCACGACGACGACATCTGTTGACCGGGAAAAGACTGGAACGAGAACGTCAGTTTCGGCGGGAAAAAGGAAACTTAAGATGCAGTCGATCGGTAGGTCGACGACGACGACACTGAATGTAAACAAACATGTAGACTGTGATGTTCGTTCGCAACAAAGTTTTTTCGCAGAGGCGTCTTTTAGAACGATGCAAGATCTTATTTTATAAGCCGTACGTCTACTTTCATTGACGATGAAGAATTTTTAGCAATGTCTGACCTTTTCAAATGGGAAAATCTCTGCTTTCCGTACGAAGATTATTCAACTTTCAACCTGAATGAGATGACCGCGTCCGAGTGTCTGTCAGACGTTAGTTTTGGAAAAAGAGACATTCCGATGCGATAGCTGTTTTCCACATAAAGTTCATTTCCTCTAAATTAAAGATATATGATTTCCCTTTCCTAAATACGTACAACTAAATTTATCACTTACTAGTTCGCTCGCTCGGCCTCCACAGCTCAGTGTTGTCTTCGAAGTAACCACAATTCATCAGTCGAATTTTCAATCAACATCGTTTGTTAGAAGAAAAAAGAAAGGATACCTGGATTTACGAGGATAAAAAATACAAAGCCCTTGAAAAATCGCTTAAAAACAATGATTTATACCTGCGAAAGCTTGTGGATTGCAGGACGACGTGATTCTACTGTGTTTGGCGTCGTCGACGACACCACGACGACGAAATTTGCTAATCGCCCTTCCGCAGTGCACGGTATCTCACTTCCGGTCGTCGTCGACAAAGTCGTCGTCGTGGTTCTTAAGTTCCCTATTTTCTGTTCCTGTTTCTGGTGTACGCTTGTACCGCTTGTCCGCCAGTTGATGTTGTAAACTTTGCAGATATTCAGGTGGGTGTAAGGGGCGGACTTTGCTTATTCAGGGCAGCCACTTGTAATGTGATCGATGGTTTCTTCACAGCGGTTGTTTATGATTATGATTATGATTATGATTATGAGTATATGATTATGATTTAATATTGTTATTAAATATTTTATTCACTATGAAGCTTCGCTTGATTTTTTTATGGTCGCCATCATTATTATCAGTGCTGTTATAAGAGATCTATTTAAAAAAAAAAGATTGAAAGGAGTCGAGTGCGGAAGACGGTCATGTTTTCCCTGTTAAAACAATATAAATGTCAGTTATTGGAAAAATGAAATTTCATGAAAGAACAAAGCAACGGTCAACAAAAGTCAACAAAAGCAAAAACAGCAGGAACCGGACATCGAATTGAATAGAAGTAATTTCAACTCAGCACATATATAGCAGCAAAAACTAATTAATAATTAAATAAGGTTTTTATATATATGATAAAAGATTTAAGTGAAATCCAACAATCATCCTAAGGCCTTCAATAGACTGATGTCAGTGCCCATGAAAACTGTTCAAAAGTTGTGTCTTCTGGCGCAGTTTGTATTGAAAGATAGTTTCTTTTACCCAATATTATTTACGCAGTTTAAAAGCTAACAATTTTTCTACCGTCTATAAAATTCTCAGGCCAAGACGCTTTATTTTTAATACAAGCGTAAGTTAACCGAGCTGCGCCATCATGTTCAACATCACGACTTGGCCCCCTCCATTTTCCATTCCTAGTACCATGAGCACTGGAGCAAGTGCTAAAGAGACGAACAGTATTCTTGTCGTAAGTCATGTGATCATCGTTCTTTTCTCCCCCATGGCAGTGGTGGGAAATGCAGTGGTTTTGATGGCGATTTGGAAGAATTCCTTTCTAAGAACATCCTTTCACATTCTTTTGAGTGTTTTGGCGTTTACGGACTTGTGCACCGGTATGGCGACCCTTTTGATGTCCATTCCTTATTTGCTGCTCCATACATTCGAAACTGTCTCGCAAATTGGAATTTTCATTGAAGCATATCTTGTCTCTCTTACGATACTTGTCATAACTCTAATGTCTATTGAACGGTGGCTGCACATGACTCACCGATCCTTACTCACATCACGCCGTGGATATCTTACCGCTGTCATATCCCTGCTACTGCCAATTCCCTTAGTTACTCTGCAAGTATTTAACTTCATCGAAGAGCGGCTGGTACTAGAGGCAAATGCTATATCGGGCGTATATATGCTATCGTGTTACTTGGCCACCTCTGTTGCTTATTTCAAAGTGTTTCGCATTATTCGACAGCACCAGCAACAAATTCATGGGAACCAGTCTCGTCAAAATTTTGGTCGACCAGCGATCGACATGGCAAAGTATAAGAAATCCATCTTTTCAATCTTGTACATTCTCGCTTTATTTTCTTTGTGCATTTTACCTTTCATTGTTTCGCTCTTTCTCCTTGTTCTTTTGGGTGAGGAGATCGGAATGTGGGCGCCATATCACGTATCTTTGGTGTTCTTATTTTCAGCATCCTGTCTCAATCCTGGTCTTTATATTTGGAGAATGAAAGACGTTCGTGATGGAGTCAAAAAGTTGTGTTGTTGCACAAACGGATTCCAGTAGATGTAACGTCTATCGACGGGCAGAATTGTTGTTGAACACTATGCTCAAATTGGGTTCATCGAAATCTCACGAAAATCACCTACTGAAGGTGGTAGCTTACCCACCAACATATCTTCTTTCTGGGAGACAATTTGTTGCTTGCAATTTCTAAGTTACGATATGTGTCTTCGGGTGCTGTTTGTATAGCGTAGTACATACACCGAACAAATAGATTAGATCATGCTTGAAGTGGTCGTTTACAAGATGTTAAAAACAATGGAAAATTCAGCTAAAGCCGTCATCCTAAAAAGTGGTCGCGGTCGCTTACAAGAGGTGGGCATTTACGAGAGCTTCCTTTGAGTGGGGAAATTTTGGTGTACGTTTTTATTAGGTGTTCGCACGTGGACGTTCGACCGAATTTTCAGTCTCGGTTCTCGAGTTATTGAAATTTCCATGCAGCAGTGAATACTTTGTGGAATAGATATTTTGCAGATAATTGGGTACCCCTGGAATATTGTTCTCGATGCTTACTAAAATAACCACGACGGCGATGGTATCGAGAACGGCACAAGAGCAATAGGTTAAGAGAAGCAAAACAACAACTTTGCACGTGCATCACGCTTTTTTGTACATTTCTCTGCCGTTGTTGCACGACTACAACGTTTCACGTTTTGTCAAGGACGGGAACAAAAGACAACAACTTTCTTTTCTTTTCCTGAACTTTGATGTCGTCCTTTAGAATTCAACTCCAAAAAACTTTGCCAACATTTGACGAATTTAACGAGATGGAATAAGTGCGATCAAGTTTGAGGCAGCGCAAATTCACTTTGTGACGTTTTCGTAGCCTTCGCCGTAGTCGTTGTATAAACACCCTAATATTCCCGAAAAGGTGAGCGTTGCGGGTGGTGTCGGAAATGATTGATGTCTGCAAGTTCTTTGCATTAAGGACCGTAGAGGAGTGGTTTTGGTGGCAAAGGAACGAGGTAAATAAAATCAACAAGTGAAAGTTTCAGGGGCACACAACGAGAAGATAGTTCAAAACCACTTAAACATGGCATTTTTAAACGTATTTTAGTATTTAAACGGTAGATATAGGCATATTTTCATCCCCTAGAAATTTTTCATGTGTTCGGATTTCCTAGCTAAAGTCTAGTGATCCGAAAATTATAGGGATCAAAACTTACCTTTTCGAAAATTTCAGCTAGAAAAAAGGCTCCCGAAAATTCTACGTGACCTTTTACGGGTAAAAATCCGTTAAAAATGGGCAATTATACCACTTTTTAGATGTTCGAAAATCCTTGGAGAGGCAGGCAAGCAAGAAATTTTAAAACAAATATTCCGAAAATTCTAGATCGCAAATCGTCTTCAGAACAGTTTTTTTTCCGAAAATTGTCGTTGGGTGCCCCTGAAGTTTTATCTCCCGAGATTTCGTTGCTTTATTGGATTTGGCGAATGGTCTCATTTTTTGTTCAATTTGTACACTATGCGAATATTTCAAATTAAAAAGAGCTATAAGTATTGTATGTGGAAAGTTTAAGTAATTAAAAACTGAAATCAACTTCAAGTGCGTGGCAAACATAATAAAGTTTCGTTTGTTTTTATATTATTTATCTCCTCACTATTATCAATGCCATTTCACCACAAGGTCTAGTTTTTTAATTGGAAAGACGAAAGAGCCGAGACAGTCATGTTTTCCTATTAAGAAAAATTTAATGTCAGCTTTGGTAGAACAGTATATTAACGTTTAACATGAAAAACATCGGTGAACAAAAGTAAATGTACATTAAAAGAGGAAACCAGATACCAATCTGTATAAATATAATTTCAACTCAGAACAGCGGGTAAAGCGTTCTACAAGAACATTTTATTTGAAAAATATTGCAAAAATATCCAACAGATTATTTGAAATCAATGACAAAAAACTTCTAATTTACGACAAACCTATTAATAATCTATCGTGCTTTGTGCCATTGCCGTGAATACTATCAGTTATGTCACCAAGGGGTCTATTCTGTTGTCTTTTTAATGGACAAGATTGGAAAGAGTCGAGTCCATACAACAGTCATGTTTTCCTCCGAGATAACGAAATTAATGTTATCTGTTAGGAGTATAATGAACATTTTTATATCGCAAAAAAAAATCAGCAGTTAATAATGGCAACTGTCTTGAAAAAGGAAACCGGGTGCCAAATTGAATAGAAGTAATTCCGTCTTAGTACACAGTAGGTATAAAACTTACTACGTTAAATCGAAGTAAGACAAATAGGAGTAATATTCCATGCCAAGAAAAATCATTCTTCTTTTATTGAAGCACTGATATTTCGTCTTCTAAAGGAAGCCTTTGAGCGGGATGAATTGGTGACCTATGCAAACTGTTCAAAAGTTGGTTCCTATGAATTTAAGAAAGAAATTTTCTGACTTCTTTTGTTTACGCCTTTAGAAGTTAGCTGACGAATTTTCTTGCGTCGATCACCTTCTCAAGCCCATGATTCCCGTGGCATAGACAATTTTCAAAGTGGCTGAACCGCGCTATTATATGTTATGTTGAACAACAACAATAGCACAGGAGCAACTGCTAAAGGGCCGAACAGTATTCTAGTGGCAAGTCATGTTATCATAGCTCTTCTTTCTCCCGTAGCAGTAGTGGGGAATGCAGTAGTTTTAACAGCGATTTGGAAGAAGTCCTTTCAGAGAACACCTTTTCATATTCTTTTGAGTGTTTTAGCCTTCTCTGATTTGTGTACTGGAGTTGCCACCTCTATCATGTCGATTCCCTATTTGTATAACCATACGCTTTATACAACTGAATCAGTAATTGGGATTCTCAGTGGAACATATCTGGTGTCTCTAACAATACTTGTTATAACACTTATGTCTATTGAACGATGGCTGCACATGACTCGGCGATCCTCAATAACATCGCGCCGTGGATGTCTCATCGCTGCGCTCTCCCTAGTAGTGCCAATTCCTTTCGTTGTTCTACAGGGTATTTATTTTTACAAGGATAGTTTTAAACTAGAGGTAGGCACCACTATGGGAGTATATCTGTTATCTTGCTACTTAGCCACCACTGTTGCGTATTTCAAAGTGTTCCGTATAATTCGCCGACACCAGCAACAAATTCGTGGAAACCAGTCGTGTCAAAGTGTTGGTCAACGAGTGATCGACTTGGCGAAATACAAGAAATCCGTAATTTCAATCTTATACATTCTTATTTTGTTTTCCTTTTCTTTCTTGCCTCTGACAGTTATACTCTTCCTCCTTGTTAAATGGGGTAAGAGCAAGGGAACATGGGAGCCATATCACCTGTCTTTGGTGCTCTTATTTTTGTCTTCCAGTCTCAATCCTGCTCTTTACATCTGGAGAATGAGAGACATTCGTGATGGAGTGAAATCTCTATTCTGCCCTTGTAGATCCCGGCAATAGGCCATTTGCACGAAGACGTCATTTTACTACTACGACCAGGATTTGTATTTGTGTTTGTATTTATTTATTTGCCACACGATTACAATTAAAAAAAAGATGCCAAAAACGAAATGTGGGAAGAAATGGCGAGGAGGCCTAAAGGAAACTATAAAGCTTATGTTAATTAGGCCTCCTCAATTACAATTTTCCGAAGATGGCATAAAAATTACGGCGACGGCTACAAAATAATATCAGGTGGAAAATTAAAATAACAATCAATATTACGGAAGTTTACAAATGTTGAATATTAAAAGCTTTTCCCAAGATTTTTGTTGGAGTATACTAATAATTATTACAAATAAATGCCTAAAGTGCTCTTTTAAAGGAAAAAGGTGAGGAAGCGTTGATGATGTTGGTGTTTAGGGTGTTGTAAAATTTAGGTCGTTGATAAAAAGCGGAGAATTGTTTGGTTCGAGTACGACAGAAAGGCAGACGAAATCTACACGAGTTTCTTGTATCATACGAATGAATTGGACTTTGTAAGGTAAATTTACAATGAAATTTTAGTATCCTTTTCGTTTTTCCTTTCATATTTTAATTTGGTAATCCCAGTGAGGTTTCCATAACAAAAGCCCTAATTTGCACAAGAAAGCAAAGTCCGGAGAGATTCTTGTCGTAGCAGTAAAATGACGTCATCATGCAAAGGGCCTATTATTCCACGAGTGCGCGTTGGCTATAATCATCTCATATCCCAAGCGCGAGTGGAATAATTATTTTACTGAAAACGCCTACAAGATATCGGGAATTCTTGCCGGCTTTATTTGTAAAAACAACCGATTTTCAGCTTATTTTTAATTTTGAGCAGACGCGTACAGTTACCATATTTGGAGAGCATTGTACAATGGCTCATATACCATGATGACTAAGCCAATAAAAGCTCTAGAATTGCATTATCGAATGATTCAGTTTTTAATCATATGAATTATCATCAGTGAATCACCGGGGTGCTCTCAACAAAGTTCTACACGTAGATGCTTCGCCCCGATGTCCAACTCCTTACCCTTTTATAAACCTTTTTTGACGGAAAAGGTACCCTGTTAGCCCTTGTGTTGTTCTTTTAGAGACTAAAATGACAGATTTCCCTGCGCTTTCATATGCTCCAACCAATGAAATACTTACCCTTTCAATTATCAGAAGCCTGAAAATGTACCTCTTGCGCACCGGCGCGCGAAGCCCCCTCATATAGGTTATTTTAGTGGCACCCCTCTCCTAATAGGCGAATCGCAAGCTAAGTGACCACAACGAAATCGCCGGAGATCAAGGAACCATATCTAATATATAGTTTCTTAATGTGGTAGCATCTGAGAATGCTTTAAGCAGCTCAACAACAGTGCTGGTTAAATTTATGGCACCTTTAAGCAATCGGAACCTGCAGCAAAGCTGAAAAAAACTCTCATGTGAGACCACCTCCCATACGCTACCACCTATCAAAACACTAAAATTTTCCCCAGTCAAATCATTAAATGACAACCTCTCATAAGCGACTGAGACCATCTTTTTGGATGACGGTTTTGGAATTTCCATTGATTTTATCCTCCTGTAAGCGACTACTTGAGCTGTTTTTCATCTCTTAGTTCACTGTATGTACTACACTACTCAGAATGAGCTGGGAGCTTTTAGGGAGAACATGAAACTACACTTATGAATTAGNTTTCAGCATCCTGTCTCAATCCTGGCCTTTATATTTGGAGAATGAAAGATGTTCGTGATGGAGTCAAAAAGTTGTGTTGTTGCACAAACGGATCCCACTAGATATAACGTATCGACGGGCAGAATTGTTGTTAAACGCTATCCTCAAATTGGGTTCATCGAGCCTCACGAAAATCACCTACTGAAGGTGGTCGCTTACCCACCGATATATCTTCTTTCTGGGCCGGACACAATTTGTTGTATGCAATTTCTAAGTTACGATAAGTGTCTTCGGTGGTGTTTGTAGCGCAGTACATACACCGAACAAAGAGTTTAGACCATGCGTGAAGTGGTCGCTTACAAGAGGTTAAAAACATTGGAAAACTTAGATAAAACTGTCATCCTAAAAAGTGGTCGCGGTCGCTAGTAGTCATGCTTCAGCAAAGATAAGCCCCGTTGGTGACTATAGGTATACGTATAGATATAGGTAAATCATTTATTCACATACCTTCCTGCATACTATTTCGGTATAGGTATAGGTAAATCATTTATATTCACATGCCTTCACGCATACTATTAAAAGGCAAAAATAAAAATAAGAGAAGCGTTCACCTAGCAACGCGAGAAACGGCTTTCAATATCTTATTTAGCGCTTAAACTCAGATATATAAACAAAACACATACACAAAGTGGAGTTGAAAAGTCTTTATTTCAATTTAGTTTATGTCTTCTTATTCAGCTCTAAAACTCGGATGTACATAAACAAAACACATATACACAAAAGTGGAGCTGAAAACTCTCTATTTCAATTTTGTCTGGCGTTTTCTCCTTTCTATCTCAAGGAAATGAAAAACTAATAAAGTCTTGTAATTTCACGCACCGTTAATCAGTTAATTATGCGAGTTTGCGAGCCCAAAGTTGAATACAAATTAGCTCTACAGGAAAAACCTTTAGAGAGAACCTTGACGTATTAGTATATAAAAAATTAATAACTTAAGGTGGACCGAACCTATTTAAATGCGTGTTGGTTATGTATTTTATTTGCGTTTTTCGGAATGAAAGATTCCACCGATTTCAATGATTTTCGGCACACCAAATAAATAATGATGGAACTTTAAGAAAATGTTAATTGTTTTCTTGTAGGTATAAAAACCTTTGAGATATCGGCATATATTTAAAACCGCATTTTTGCGAAAAATGTAAATAACTTCGAAATCCCACGACAGATGTTTCCCTAACTTCAGCAAATAAGATTCAAAGCTCTCTAAATTACATCAGCGAGTTTGAAGGCAATCGTGACAGTGTGAAAGTTGACGCACGAATAGAGGAAGACTGCCGGGAGACTATCTCCTATCTGAAAGGATATTTCTACCTAAAGCTTTATTGCAAGAAACAGAGTAATCAGAAACTTACGGCGAATAAAGGTAGCACTTAAAGAAGAACAATTTTAAGCTGAGTGCGCGGTGATATTAAAGAACTTCTATTCATCAAACTTACTTTGTATTTGTCCCTCTCTTTTGGAAACAAATCTTAACAAAGCAAAATATGGCTTCTACGAAAAACTCTCAAGAGTTTTAAGCGTCACGGGTTCCCGTTTTGAAGAGAAATGAGGCCACCAACTCCAGTACTTCTAACCATCCATTTTTCAGCTGCAATGAAAACCTTGTAATTTATTCAAGCTTTTTAGACTTGCCATCACATTCGCACGGGAGGTTTACCACTTGGGAATAAAGACGAAGACAAATATGACAATCGTCTTATTCTTCTCATTATCCCCAACAGCAAACTGCCCGTGAGTGATGGTAAGTCATAACTGCTAGCAATAAAACCACAAGAGAGATACCGTTTAAAAACTTTATTAAAAACAATGACAAAAAGAGTCAAATACACAGCGATTTGTAAGGAATGGAAATTAATTAATCTTCATCATCTTCGCCCATGGAGCTACTTGTAAGGTTTGAATTTCTTATGCAGACGTTTCCTCAGCTGTTTGGCATGTTTGGCTTTCTTTGTCAGGTTTTTGAGAGATAGCCGCTTGTGTTAATTCAGGTGTCACATTAAAGGGGTTGAGGCGAGTGGTGAATGCTGTCGTTGCTGTCGAAGAATCTTGTGTCCTTTATGTTAAGTCTGGAACAGTGCTGATTATTTCTTCCGGTCGTGTTCTTGTATTTAATTGTTCTTTAAAAGCCAGGTATCTGTTTTGCAACTGAAAGTATCGTGTAGTTTTTTCGTCGTCCCGAAGATCGTTTCGAGAAAGCACGTCATCCATGTTGCCTTGTATTTCTTGCATAGCTGCTTCAGATATTTTAGAAGCTCTTGATGAATATTTTCTTGAAACCCTGCTTGGTTAAAGCCTTCTTCACTAGGCAGGACGTTTGTTCGCAACCGACAATTATCTTGGGTAGTAGTTTTCAGATCAATCAGAAGATAACCAAAAGGTCTTTTTACAGCCTCTTCGTATTGATTTAAAAAGAAATCCGTCTGCCCGGGATACATTTGCTTCGCCAGAGTCAAGATTTGCAATTTGTCTCGTGGATTCTTGAATAACACCAGATAATGGCTGTTTAGGCTTATGCTGCGGCTACCTTTCCCCTGATGAAATAGATTCTACGCGATATAAACCACGCGCAGATTGCGATGATGAGAACCACGAATAACGAGGTTCACCATTCGCTTGTCTTAACTGGCGTCAATCGTCTGATCATCAAACACGATCAAATTCCGTTTGTTCACATCAAAATAAGAATCCTGCTCCAAAGCTGTAGGAATTCCCTTGACGAATTCAATGTGTGGCATGGCGACTAACATTTGTGTATACGCAGGCTACCATTGTGAATAACACCAAACGATCCTCTCCGGGAGAGGGTAAATGGTCTCTGAAGCTTGTTGTAATAGAGATCGAACCCAGGCCGTTTTTCCGGACCCGGTCATTCCGGCAATCATGGAGGTGAAAGGATGCTCGAAGCGAAACCGCTGACATTTTTGCGAAAACATTGGAACTGTTTGAAATGGGGTGAGACCAGCAATGTGGTTTTAGACATCACGTGCCTTTGCATATTATCTTTTATACTAAAGGATTTTTCGCAGACAGAACAGAACCAACTCATGTCAACTCCTCATAAGCAAAATGTAGACTGAGAAAGAGGTAGAATGTTGCGCATTTATATAGGTTTTCAGGCCATAAAATTCTATTGTTTTCCTCTCCCAAGACCACCACCACCACATTTCAATTGTTCCCCCCACCACCACCACCACCACCACATTTCTATTGTTTTCCTCCACCACCACCGCCACCACATTTCTGTTGTTTTCCCTCCACCACCACCACCGCC